AATTTTTTTTCTCAAAAACTAAGTCAATATAGTTCACAAACTTCTGGTTTGACTTGTTGGTACGAGAAGTGTACTTCTGGTTCCTTAGTAAACTTCCGGTTTACTATAAAACCCAATGATAGTAATATATGTATAATATTTTGACACAATTTATACAAACCTTAAAAAAAGTTTCTTCTGAAAATTGTATTCTTTAACGTAAAAGTATATGATGGGATTTTTTGACATTCGAAAAACTTTTTTCCAATTCATTTGACATCATTGCAAAATTTTACTTGCTCTAGTATATATCATTTATTCTTCTAGAGCAAAATGTACAAGTTCTCTTCAGGAGATCATAATGATTTATTTCAATTGTGTCGAATTAATTCTTATTCACAGGAGCATTTAATCTGATGGAGCATCTATACTCTTCACGAGTATTTGTTTATTTAGTTATTTTGATTCTATCAAAATATTCTTACTATGCAGGAACATACATATAATCTTGTTAAGATATATTTAGCAATTGATTCTCTGCGAGAAATTTTATCCAACTTTATGGAGGAATTCAATTACATATTTCCCATAGTTAGAGAACATACAAGTTATTGTAATTTGCAATGACAAATTCTGCTCTTCTGGAGCTTTTTGTCCAACTTTATGGAGAAATTAACATATGCTCTACGGGAGCATTCACTTAAATTTCTTCTAGCAAAACATTGAAATTTTTTAAATTCATAAAATTACAAGAAATAGTAAAACATGAAATAAAGAAACTACTCAAGTTAAAATTTAAAATAAATTACCACTGGATGCTTTCATTTTGAACATATAACTAACACACCTTCTGGGTGATCATCTTTTACATCTATAATAGCATTGTTAACATTATGGTTAACATAAATGCATTTCTGATTCTTGGCAGAGAGTAACAATATGTTCTTGCTACAAAATAGAAACATGATTAATGATTTTTTTTATTTTATACCACAATAAATAACACTTGCTATCTTTATGTTTCCAACTTCTTGTGGTTTATTTTATTTTCATCAAAATTTCTCACTTCCGATGATTAGAAATATTTTTGGTATCATTACCAAATCTCAATTATATTTGGGATTTCAATTTGTCCGCTATTAAATTTTATGATAATTGCATTTACTTCAAGAAATGCAGTCGTCCAACTTAGACGAGTATAATATTATTTGCAACAAAATGTAATAGTTTGTTCAATACTAATAAGAATTATATAGCTACTTCAGGGACAATTTTCTTATTGTTCTTGTTAATAATCTTCCACTTTAGGTGAAAATACTATTTTATATGCGGCTACCATATTATAGTATATCCATTACACAATTTGACTCATAAATAACGTATTTGTCCACTTGCTTCAGAAAGTGAAAATTCTCAAATCAGAGAGTAGTGTGATTTCTTTAAACACAATCATAATGATGCGTTTAATAAAAATATAATGAATTGCTACTCCAAGAGCAATTCTTTCTTGGTTTTTTTTGGTCATATCGATATAACTTTTTACATTGTCTATCTTTATTCATATTTGCCACTTCAAGTGGCCAATCTACATGACTATAATATTCTAACATATTCAAATTCACTTACTTCGGGAAGTGAAGAAAATCTTTTTAAATCTTTTTGTGAAATTTTTACTAATTAAGCAAATCAATACACGAAAAATTTATAACAGAAAAGGCTACTACAGGACCACTTAATTGTATCTAAACATTAATGCAGCATAAGTAAATTCGTATTACACATAAAGAATAAATTCTCGTATTGTAAGATTTTCCTATAGAAAGATAAGACAAGAAAAATCTAACCGCACTTCTTGCTCTATGGATCAAAATCAACTTACCGCACTCCCCAGATTTACGGATTAAAATCTTCCCAGTTGGATCAAAATTAACTTACCACACATCTTGATCTACAGATTAAGATCTTCTCAGTTTGATAGAGAGTCATTCTGATAACGTGATATAAAATAAACCAAAACAATAAGAGATATGGAACTGTAGAGAAAGAACAAGTAAGACGAGAACAAGAGAGAGAAAAGAGAATTCGTTTGTGTCTTCTTCTGTGGAGAATGATCTCCATTTATAGATAAAATAGATACATAAATAACATCAAATAATGATAAGATCTAGCTAACTAAATATTATCTCTTTGTATAACTCTTTTAACTTGTGGACATCCACATTATATATTTATAACAAAAGTTTTTTTTTTTTTGGAAAAGGGATTAAAAAAAAGTTGAACTCGTGAATACATAAAGTTATCAATATTGATTTATATGTAACATTTTTTATTGGTACATACATTTGTGGTTTGGGGAAGGACTTATCAATATGAATAATTCTTCCACAGCACTTTAAAAAATTCATTTAATTAATCACCGTGTGGCTCTTTTCTTTAGAACAATTCATCTAGTAGTTAAACAAAAAAATGCATACCACTCTCAAGGTAGACCATATATTTTCATAAGGACAAGCACATATATCGAACTCTAGAAATTTCAATTTTTCATGTGTCTTTTTCATAGGAACATTATATCTATTTCGAATGAAAATATCCTTTTGATGAAACAACTACGTTACTTAGGAAAGAAACTAACAGTATACTGTATAATATTACGGGTGGATTCAATTTTGGTAATATTATCTTGCCGACATGGTACGTTGGTGGGGGCGATGATTCCACAACCAACATTAACAGTGATTTTTATCTTCTTTTCTTTTTTTTCCTTCATCACCTTTTCAGATACAACGTCAAAATCTTACATATATGCCTTTGTTGCTTCGATAAATCCTATTCATAAATAAAACACACACACGTACCACGTAGTATTTGTAGATTAAAAAAAAGAAAGAAAACACTAGTAGTAACAAACAACGGTTTTTAAGATTGCATCAGGGGTCAGCGTCGAGTTCATGAATATTCTTTTGGAAGAAAAAGAAAAGGAGAGAAGATCAGATGATGAAATGATGAATGATCATCATTCAAACCCAGCAGATTTTGATAATTGGTTTTACATTTCTGTCCCGTTGGGATTGGCCAAATGGGTTATCTTTGTTGGTCGTTTGATTAACAGATAAGAAATTTTTTGGTTAAGTGGTGTATTTGGTGTCCCAATTTGACCATTAGATTATGTATACACACCACCATTCAAATTTTTGTTACATGTTTACATCTTGAATTTTAATGAACTTTTAATTAGACTGAAAATCAAGAGCGACTGCTTTGTCGCTTTTTGTTAGGGAAGGAACCAACTGAGATGTTTCATTCGTGTATATATCCACCGGCCTAAGATTCTTTTGTCTCTCCCCATACATATACGTCTCCGGCTCCCCGTTCTTAATAGTATAGTATCCAAATGATCGTCATCATTGTGTGTCGATGCATTAGCGAAAAATGCAGTCACTCTAGATAGAGGGCTATATTTTTTTGATATCGCTCCTAGTTACTAGAACATGATTGTAGAAGCTCAGAAAATTGTATATTATTGGTTTCCTCCTGATGTCAATATAAATTTTGTTTTTAACCGTACAAAAAAAAAAAAAAATGATCGTCCTCACAATAATGTGATAATTTATAAATTTTCTGAAAATAAAAATTATGTTTGTTTTTCTAAAAAAATTATTCAAAACAAAAAGGGATTTTTTAGATGGGAGGTTAAAATATGTCGCCCAGATATGTTTAGGAACAAAAGATTTTTCTTGGACAGGGGAGGGGAGTATTTTGTTTTACAAATTTGAACAAATATGATAGCCCCTTCCCCTCAAATTTGACCATTCATGAAATTCCCCTGAAAGCTTAACCACGTCGTCCATGTTTTTACAATTTTTGCGATTTAGTTAAACACATCCCTAAGGTGGCAAGAAATGTAGTTATTGGCATCGCAGCCGGATGATGTTCAGAGTTCAGATCCGTATGCAGAATTATACATATCCCGTTTTGAATTTGTAGGTATTACTCTCTAGAGGCCCTATTCATAAGTTTTAATTTGTGCATGAAAAATAAGAAGACACACGTTTTTTTTGAAAATGTAATTAGTTTAGGGCCCCAATAAATTTTTAATTTACTTTTTTTGCTTTTCGAAATTATATGTCAAATGTAACTGAGTCTACAAGGTGTCTATCTAATATGAATGTGTCGGGTAGACCACTTTTCTTGCATGATGACCATGAAGCCTTTGTCTTGGGGATGTAGGCCGGGAACCCAACGGGCCCCGACATATGGATCCACATTTGCTGGATTCTTGTCCATCAATCCATCATCCTGGGCCACCTGAATGTCTCCACCTCTGAGATGCCGCCATACGGAGAAAAGAAATACGATGACGAAGCCGCAAGCAAAATGCTCTTCTTAGGGTTACTAAAGTGGTATGTCCGGCGATAAAAAGTAGTATTGAATATTATTGTCCGTTGGTTTTGGATTAATAGGAGAGTTTAATTAGACGTATACAATTAAACACCAAGTTGACCTTATGAGATTCAACATGATATCATGAAATCATGTTATTTCACTGGCCAATACGCAACGTAATGGAACAAGGTGGAAATCTCCTAAAGTAAATTGATTTGCTAATGACTGACATTTAAGCGTAACAAGTGTAGCTCTACCACACCTTAACACAACAAGGTCTAGCAGTACATATCAGAATGTGATTGGAAGCTGGAACTTGATCCTACACAGATCAGTTTCGGCTACCGAATTCTGTTACAAAGAGCATCAAAATTCAGCTAATCCAGGACTAAACTGGCTATAAAACCAGCAGGCAATAGACTGCGCTTAACTAAGGACGCAAAACTATCTTGTTTCTGTTATCTCGTTAGCCTTGTTGGCGAATTAGAGATGGCACTGCCCCAGAGACATATCCCGATATGCTTTACCCGAGATACTAAGGAACCCTCTAAACCTGTATTCCTTTCTTCACGTTCACAACACAAACTTGGTCAAGAATTAAGATTATCTCAGTGATGGGGTGCGGAAATGTTAGTCTACCATACGAAAAGAAAAGTTTGTATGAAAACAAGGACAGAAACGAAGGTCCCTCCTGCCAAAATCCACTGAAGGAGTCTTCTTCTTGTCCTTTGCCTAAGAAAACTAGAATGTTGTAAGATAACCTCTAAGATGCATTCCCCATCAAGAAAGTAAACCTGGACATCCAAAAAGGTGCAGGTATCAATCTTCCTTCGTAACTTGGAAGAAAAATTTACAAAAACTTTGAAAAAAGGTCGAATAAAAGATTGGAAGCAAACTTACTGGTAAACTGTTGAGAAGAGCAAGAGCAAGGGATACATGGAAGGCGTATACACAGAGCTTTTCCAATACAGTAGGCAGAGATGAACCAAAGTTAATCGACCACCGAGGTTGATATGAAGTCAACCGGAGAGCATGCCCCAAGGTGATTATGTCACCAAGAAAAGTGAAGGTCGATGTACAGTTCATTTCTCCAGATTTATGAGGCTTGTGTTCTGGAAAGGAGTTCATTTGGGACTTCTGGCAGACTGAAGGCCTTGAATATGTAATTTCTACCCATGCCAAACCTGGCTTCTGGACTGGGCTCAAGCAAGACTCATCCTGTATCCACCATCAAATCAACCATGTTCAAAACTTGTGGTAACACCGTATTTGAGAATAAATTACTCTGAAATCAACACTATTTGTCTATGATGGGAGAACTTAAGTCTTGCTTATCCAATTAGCACTCTAAAATGAATCTCATACCTCCAAACATGAGCAACTGCTTCTATCATGGTTTCCACAATTTTTTAGCTTGATAACATCCTTCGGATTGAGGCAGCGAATACTTCCTGTTCCCTCAAAATGATTATCTTTGGAAGTAACACCATCAAAGTTATGAGAATTCACGCACGGAATAGAAACAAAAGGAAAAAGTTCACTTGGACAAGTCGTGTCATTGACGTGCCATTCTGTTTGAATTTCTATGCTCCCTCTAATAAGATATGAGGGAACGCAATACCCTGTTCTGCCTCTGATGGCAAGAGAGCTTTCAAAATCCCTGGAACTGCCAATCTGAAGCATCTGTACATTGAACAAAGCAATTGTGTCTTTCCACTCTTGTACAGAATGAACACGAGTACTACCTAATGAGACAATCAAATCTCCGGGAGCCAGATGTCCAGCCAAAGGTGACTTCTGAGACACATTCAGGACCTATTGCAGAAGGAGAAGCCTTAGATAACCAGCAGATCATTTGTCATGGGCAGACTAAAGATCTATATAAATAAATAAGCCTTACCATGGGACTTTCCCCATATAGGTAAAATGGCTCCAAGACCAACGGCAGCAGAAATAATATTAGGGAACAAACCACACAAAACTGCAGAGTGTAACGCACAAGTTTCAGATGCTTTCTGAGAGCAAAAAGATTCGACATGTAACAATTTCCAAATGATCAAACCAAAAGATAACATACAGCAGCATTATGCCAGATTCCAGCACAATATATTCGCAGAGCAGCATTTCGGGGTAATGCCTGCAATACCTCCAAATTAAAAGCCACTAAAGCTCCTGGAAACAAAGCTGCAAGAAACACCGCAATGTATTCCATCTGAATACCCTCACTGCTTCACCAGTAAGTGGCACCTACAGCAATGTGTCATGAGATTATCCTCCACTTTAATCGTCTTACTAAAACTTCAAATATCTTCCAAGAAATAAATACAAATAACTAGACACAAAACGCATAACACAATCTGAATAAGACTCCCAGAAAAATATTAACTCCGTAAAAAACACAGTCAAAGTTAAATGATCCAGTACATCTCGATCTAATCTCCCATGTGAAACTTTTGGAATAACAGACAATAAGTGAGTTAGCCAAAGGTAGACACTCCCATTAATCTTGGGCCAAAATTCATTAGTAAGAAACCAAACACTTCAATACTATGCTGAGCTTCAAGGCACAAAACGAGATTTAAAGGTAATTCATTATCTCCTGAAACACCAGTGCCTTTAAATAGCAACAGGAATTATAATTATAATTCTTCGGCACCGTCATCATAGATCATGAACGGAAGCATGTATTCCCAGTATTTGGTTAAAATAACACAAATAAACCAATGTGATACAACTGAATCGAAGTAAATATGGTTTTAGATACCAAACAGAAGTAGCAGATTGAGCAACCTGTTTGGGGCGAATATATGTATAAACAAACTAGCACAAAAACATTTCCATCCTAGAATGAGCAAAACTAGTACACTGCTACGACAGGGATAATCCAAAAATCCATAATTATAAAACAATGAGAGGATAACTTCTTAACCTGGCAGCAGCAAGAGCATGCCCAACTTCATGGATGAAAACGGATACAATGGAGGATAGACAGATGTATCCTATATCAGTAAGAGAGATAAAAGCTTCTGAAATCTGCATAAAACCAATAGATGATGAATTCCAACAACAACAACCACCAAAAAAAAACAAAAAAAAAAACTCCCAGGTGAATCAAATTGGTCTTAAGTCTTAACCAGCCTTTATCTTCTGGTGCACCCCAAAAGGGTCTTTAAATAGCCAATTAATACAAAAAATAACAAATAAAAATCCAATAATTATAATCAGTAACATCCATGTTATACCATGCATTCCCAGTGATTCTCAAATATAAAGCTAGTGTTATTCAGAGTTCATCTGCAGAGTGTAAGCAACTGTTCAATTCAAGTCTGAATACAAACAAAGACAGCTTGTCTTCCTTGTGGAGATACTTGAACCAAGCAGCTCCACGTGGACATTAACTCAAAACTTTTTTTCACTTAGAACAATAACACAAACAATAGTCTAAATGTATCAAACCAAACTATCAGCAGAACTATTTTATGATGAGAAATTTTCAGTAAGCTAAACTGCATAGCTGTAATGGGAATGACAAAACAGCCATAACCAACGTAAAGCATGATAGATGATACATATATAACAAGTCTGAATAATGTATGAATTACTGCTCTACAACCATGTTTCACTTTAAGAAACGTTCAATATAACCAGCAGAACAATAAAACAAGCAGCTGCACAATTGGAAAAGAGAACATCTAAACATAGCAAAGAAACCTACCTTTCCTCATCTAAATCCCAACTAGTTCTATATTTTCCTAAAAGCAAAACAGAAAAAGGTAATATTTCACATTTGTGTGTCTCCACTAAAACACTCACCGAAGAGTAAAACCCAAATACGAATCCATTCAAAAGACCGTTAAAGCTATTGTTGACACTATGCAGATGCAAAGCTCCTCCCAGTTCCCATAATAGGATCTGCACAACACATAAGCATGGTGAGAAATCCATGGTTGGCCTATAATCCACAACTAAATATTGTATGAACAACACTATTACATGCATTCAAAGTGTTAAATTGTTTTTCTATTTCCTCTTAATTTACATCCAAGTCAATCAAGTGGGCAGTCACTGACCAAGAGCACTCCAACCAGCAAAGAGAGGCTAAAACCCATCCCCACTGAAAACCAGATTCGCAAGAACCTACAAAATAAACAAATACAAAGAGCAATCAAAATATGACCATACTGTCAAAACATTAAAGAAAATGTATATATGTGACGGAGCCACTATATAAAATGATCACGGATTCATGCCAAAGTACCTAACAGAAGAAAAGCAAATGCTGAAGCAAATCTTGCTCTACTACCTTAACAAAATAACTAAATTACCAAGAGAGAAAAGATAACCTGGCATGCCGACGACCAAAGTGAAATAGTGGTTCATTTAAGGCCGACGTCTTGAAGTCGCAATACCTGTACAACCAATTGTTCACAAGGAGCTCAAAAGTTCAATCACATCTACAAAGAGAAGTCACTGAATTTCTCAACAATAATGAGATGTTTATGAATCCAGATACTTTGAAATGATTGAGTACAAGTAGGCATACCAACAAGAAATAGTATTGGAAAGCTGACTGACTCGAACGGGCAAAAGGGTATGATTGTGATTGCTTCTCCCAAACCTTCTAATGCGTCTCCCCTCCATGAACAGATTGATTTCACATTCGTTTCTGATTCATGTGCTAATTCACGAAAGAATTCAAAGATTTGGGCAGAATAAGGAATCCATCTTAAACCCCTGCTCTAGAACCCAGCACTCCGTAAATTTGTATTTTAGCCCTCTAAAAATTGATGCTTTATTCCTATGGTAAATTTTAGACATAAACTAAGGTTACTGGCTTATTCCCAGTCTCCCAATAGTACATAGATAACTTACTGATGATGTCTTATGACAAAAAGGCAAGTTAGCCATTGAAAAATGTGAAAAAATATAAACTTGAGGGGGGTCCCCTTAAATTTACTCCAAAAGACGGAGTCGAAACTGATTTTTTAACTGTACCTCAGGTTCTTCTTCCCCTTTTCAGTAATGCTCATCTTGAATCACAAGGAATAGAGATTCCCCCGACGTCCCATATATGTCCCAGTTGAATCTTTATCAGAGATCCTTACTCTGAGCTGGACTATCGCTATTTTTGATAGAAGAATTGCCGGTGGCGACTGAAAGGGTGTGATAAAGCCATGATTTTGTTACAATCGCCTTCCAAATATATGTTGCAGATCTTGACTACCCGCCTTCAGAAGTAAGCTCAATTTCCTTTCCAATTTGGTTACTTATGTTGGTTGCTTTTGTTTCTTTTGAATATCTAATCAGCCCCTTTCCGCAAAATCTTTCTGGGTTCTGATAGATATCTTTGTTTGTGTTAGTGGCTGTCTTTGTGGCTTCTTTTCATTTCTTGTCAACCCCATTTTTTGTTGATCGGTAGTTCGAGGGTGTTTTCTGGAAGAGTATTCAATTCAAAATTTTCAGGGTTACTATTTGATTAAGCTTTACTTAGTTACATTTGCTACGAAACTGAGAATGCTATATAAGAGAAAAGATGTTGATCATCGTAATGAATGCTTGCTCTCTTCTGTGTTTTAGAATATGAAGACTAAGTATGTTCATATACACTTCCGTTTTATCACATTTTAGTTTTTGTGATAGCTGACCTACTTATGGGAAAAAGAGCTCTTGTTGTTAGTTTCGGTAACAGCTAATAAACAAAGGTGACATCTGAATTTCCTGTATATCTTAAACTTTTAGGAGTAGACTTAGGAAGAAACTGATTGAGTTCTTATTTTCCTCAATCTTTACTGAGCCTGATGATGAGCGCATGGAAATTTGGAATGCTTTAATACATTATGTTTGAGTTAGTTTCTTTAGGAAGTTTCAAACATTCAGAATCAATCCTGTCATCTTTTCTTTTGTTTTTTTGGAAATAGAGGAATCAGTATCCGACCAGAGTCAGGGAGGATTTGTTAGATTTGTACCACCTTGAAGTTGCTTCCTTCTCAAGTACTAGTCTGCGTGGTTAATTAGACAGGAAAGAGTGTCACGATTAAAATGGTTTACCTTTATTCTGAGATCAATTTGAAACTCAAGTTCCATGTTTACAAAATTTTGTGGAAGGGGAAGTAAATCATAGAGTGAATGAGTGATCGGATGTTGCATTTTCCAATTCCTATGTTCTGTAGTCATATATGGAATTTATTTCAGTGGCTATTTCAAGTAAAGGAATGGAATCTGTTTTAGGTCCTTGGCATCTGCTTTCCTGTTGTTTGATATCCATTTCTTTTTAACTCTCAAGCGATTGGTTGAAATGCCGCGGAAAAAGTCTTGCTTGGTGAAAAGTATATGTAATCTTACATCAAACAAGACTTGAAAGGTTTACTTTATTGACCCTTCTATTGGCCTTCACGGATAATTCTCCTCTGCCAGTCCAATGATCACCATGAAAGCTATTTTTAGGGTGCCTTCTGATTTTGATATTTCACTAATTTACTTTCAAGCAAGCGGAGGATATTTTTCTACGCTGGATATTTTTTTTTTAAAGTTATTTTTTTTGTTGCTAATGAATGCTAAATTGCTTGTGGAGACATGATTCGTTTGGAATTTTCAGATTGACTCAAAGATGTATGTATAACTATTTTTTGCTTCTTTGCAGTCTTGACAAAGGAGTTGAGCTTGATTGCCACTGGAATGAGTTTGGGGATGTTAGATATCACATACAGGTATTCCTCGCAATCTATAAGGGAACCATGTGTGAAGGGAAATAGAAGATAAGAAATGTGTGTAAAAATGTAACTATGATTCTTCAGAATCCCGTACTTATGGTGGGAACTGATTTTCAGGGCTCAATGAAGAATCCAAATCTCCTCTTTTTATCAGTATCATTACCTGCACCGCCTCCAGAAACTGTATCCATCGGAGGGTTACCACCAGGAGCGATAGATGCTATAAAATCAGCCTATGGAGCAGTGGCACAAATTCTTGATCCTCCTAGAGACGGATTCAGTCTCACTTTAAAATTGAACTTTTCAAAACTTCCTCCAGATGAAGGTTCAACGTGTTCTTTTTAAGGTCATTATGAGCTTGCTATGGTTCTGCTGAAAGAGAAAGGCTATGTCAGTGATACTTGCACATGTGAATCTACATATATCTGCTTTACCTCTTTAAAATTGAGAATGCGTGAACTGTTCCTTGGTTCAGCATACATTGTATGTGCCTAATGTTTTTCATAAACATAGATATATTTGTTTCTGAATTGTTTGGGTCCAAATATAATTATCATTTACAATCATTATTAAATACGGTTGCTTTGGATTGCCAATGACATAATGTGAAAGTCCGAAGGCTGTGGACTGGTGAACTTTGATGGCTTATTTACACTTAAACTTTCCAGTACTTTGGAGTTGTCAAATGTGCCGCATCATACTTTTTCTGATCTGCCACTTATACAGATTTCTTTGAGCCTTAAGAAATTTAACTCATCTGTAGGCTCTTTATTTCTTTTCTGTGCGACATTTCCTATATGTTTTCCCACTTTTATTATTGTGAACAACTATCTACATGACTGTTAACGCCTCGTGGTATGTTGACTTGTTGCTTAGATCGTTCATCGAGTCCCTAGCCTGCTTTTTCTTTCTGAAATGCCTTTGCCTCTTAGTTCTTTTATAGTGGTTCTGTAATCTCTTTTCTGCAAACTCTGCAGAGGAAAAACACATGTCCTTGTTAAAGATTGCATCCGTGAGAGAACTAGTATTGGGTGCCCCATTAAGAGTGTTTTTAAAACACCTGGGGTCACGGACTGCTGCTTCAGACCTTGACAAGATCGTTGCTCTGGTACATCGTCCCATGGAGTCATTTTTTCTGATTCCTCAGGTACATACTTGACCGTTTCTTTTGTCTTTACCTCTTAATTCTGGTCTATTTTGCTCTAATATTCTTCTATGTGCATAAATACGTGTATGTGATCGTCTGTACTTAGTTGGCCTTTTCTTCAGCACGTGCGAACCTTCAATCACTAAGCTTATTGAAGGTGCTCCTGTTGTAAGGGGAGTGTGAGATTATATTCTTTCAAAGAATGTGAATTTATATTCCTCTTGCCAAATCACTTCTCATCCCTGAATTTCTTATCTACTTCTGTGCCTTGTTGTTGAACCATTTGGAATAATCTTGAGATATAGGTTGTGTGTTTCTGATGAAGGTTATTATGCATGTGTGCTACAGGTGGACAAGGCCACCGTGGTTTTCCCTATGAGGTTCAAAGATTCTACAGATGTTGTTCTGGCAACCTCCTTCCTTCAGGTAAGTGTACATGGTCAATTGGAAAAGCAAGAATTTATATCAGTTGTTTTTTTATTGTGTTCTAAGTGGTCCAAGAGTCAACAAACAAACAGAAATGCTTGAAGAAGTCCTGTTTTAAATGTGTGTGATGCTATGGTTCTGGTGCGTGATGATTACAAAATGGCATGTGGGCATTTTTGGACTCCTGGTTCTGAAATTCTGGCATTATAACACAGCTGCACAGATGCAAGTCCACGCTTCCCCATGTTTAAATTATCTCAATAGGAGACGTGCTATGGGCTTTTGGACCTTGTCTCTTATCATAGAATTGCCATAAACCAGCGAGTAGTGAATTATGTTCTTGCGCTGGTGTATTTGTTGCTTCCTGCTTCTGTTTGTGTTCCCTTTCTTTACTCTAAGTTTAGCACCTAATGTTATGATGTTAATGAATCGGGCAGGAATTTGTTGATGCTAGGCGCAGTGCTGGGCTTAGCAATGCCCCTCTTTGTTCATGGTCCACTACTCCTCCTCAAGAACTGAAGGAAGTTCCTTCAGAAGCATTATCTGCAAATGCTGGTTATGTTAGTTTTGGTAATAGTGGATTTCACTGCTTAGTTTTCTTAGCTAGAAACTTTTCCATTTCACGTGACATGTTCCGACCTTTAAATTGGTGCAGTCATTTTCCCTCGTCACGTAGAAGGAAGAAGACTAGACAGAACTGTTTGGAGTTTATCAACATTTCATGCATTTGTGAGTTACCATGTCAAGGTGAGATTCTCAAGTATATTATCAGGTATTCAAATTCCTTTAAATTCTTTAGATATGGCCAACTTCTAGCCAATCTGTGTTTTCACTTGATCAATATTGATGTCTTGAGGCCCTTGACATTGGAGTGATAGAATCAAGATACACCACATTCCATATAATTCTTCATGATTGTTAGCCGGCAATTTAATTGGCTGCGACAAATATGTTCAATTTGGTTGGCTATTTGTGTTGCTGGGAAATTGGAATAGCTGGGACAATGTGTAGGTTTCGGCTGTTAGTGATGTCGATGCTTGTTAGTTGTCAGATTAGCAGGCGTTCATCTTGTTCCTTGGTCTTTTTGCTGAAGCTTTGAGAAAGCCTTTGAAGTTTTGACTGATTCTCTGAGTTTCTTGGGGCACCCACTCTTATGCAGCTCCACTAATGGATGTAATTTATTGGGATGATAGATTCTTTTATACCATTTAAAAAGTGTTTAAGGTGGTGCTTTTTTATGTCAATGCCGTCCTGTTTCTGCATGCTTGTGTGAAGTTGAAAAGTTTGTCCTTGCACTTTAAAGTGTTAGAACTTCAACAATATATTTGACTTTTTTCTGATTGTTTCTTGTCGACAGTGTTCAGAAGGTTTTATGCACACTCGGATGAGACGCCGGGTTGAGTCACTGATACAGGTAATGGCTGAATTCTTTTTTACTTTTTATTTTTTGTTTTTTCTCAGTTAAGCTTCTAGTTCTTGTTCGTCAAATGTACTTTAGCTTAGACTTGATTTATCTGTAGAGTCTGGATATAAAGAAATACTAACACTGACAACTGTAAGTATATACAAAGATTCCCAGGTTCCTAAGTCACAGCTGTGTAAGCTTGTTGAAAGATAGTAACTACTGTTCAAGTCTAAAAAAGTATTTTCTGTCGAGAAAAGCCTTGAATTTAAACGTAGAAAAACTAGGAGTTCTGTGTGTTATATGAGACCTTCAAAGTTACTGATGAAGAAAGCAGACAATATTTGTCCATCTATTGTTATCAGATATTTTCATTCCTTCTACTCGAGTTTTGCAAAGTCAGCATCGTATTAATCGTGCAAAGATTTGTACTTACATGTTGCTAGCGATTTCTTCACGATGTATTTCAATTTGACCAGGTTTTAGATCGCGCCAGACCTGATTCGGAGGAATCAAAGAAAAGTATAAAAAACAGATCCTTCAAGCGTTTGGTACGTAATGAAATTAAATCTGCATTTCCTTATTCTGTCCTGCAAATTTCCATTGCCTGCCTAATCCATGTTCTTTCCTTCAATGTTGGTTCTGTGTAGAGTCTGAAGGACGGTCGGAGCAGTTTCAAATCATTTAGTTGAAGCAGTAAACCATTAGAGAGTGCCAAAGAGGAGCTCATTAGGTTCCTTTGTATCTGAGTTTTGTAACCTTATTGTCTGTGAATTCACTTGTTAGGAAAAAACAGGTCGTCAGATTCAAAATGTTTTGTATTTTGGCCAGCAACCAAAGCGTGGTTGGTTTGTGGCCTGTACAGTTCTAGTGCTTGTATCATAGAATATCCGGCTAAAATCTTCATTCAAGTTACCTTATTCTTATATATATACAGCAGCAATGATATATACATTCCTTAAAATGCTTGCATTTTACTGTTAACAACCTCCTACATTGAAAGCATGCATTATTCTGTTACTACCTGGTAAGGAGATAGATCTGCGAAAAAGTTTGTGAAGAAAAGGACGAGTATATTCTTAGAAAGTTCTTGAGCCTTTCTCTGAACTACTACTACTTGTTGATTCTGTCTATCGTAAAGTTGGAAAGGATGATAAGTCTTGGAGTCTTTGTTGAGGTCTTATTGTGTTGTAAAATAGTGTACCTGCAAGCTCTATTTAATAGGACTAAGGTTACTCTTGGTTTTATAGCTTATATGCATAGAAATCAAACCACTGGGATCGCATTGTGCAAAATACTAGTTCTCTTATGTTCTCTGCTATCAGCATCAGTTCATCCTGTTTAATTCATAAAGTTTCAGTCTTTACCCATCATCAACATCCAACAACATTTACCTTTGTGCTTCTTCACATTGATTTGTGCTGCAACTTCCTGGAAGCCCGATGCGAAAACTCTATTGTCACTGCTTGAGGATTGGAGTGTTGTTCCACCTTCCATCAGATTCAGCTTGAGTACTTCACATTCCAGTCGTTCGTGGATTGGTTCACTGCTCAGCTTTGGTCAGTCTGAACTTGTCTAGTTATCAAATTTCGGGTCAGCTTGGACCTGAAATTACAAATTGAAGACTATTTCCTTAAGCAACAATAATCTTTCTAGTTCAATTCATTAAGCAGTTGACAGTAACCAATTCGATGGGAAGATCCCCATCAAACAGTGGGAATCTGTCTGCACTGGAACCTTAGCCCTCTATTTGGGACCGACTTGGAGGTAACACACCAGGTGAATTAGCAAATCTAAACTTTCTTCGAAACTTCTCATAATTGGCTGGTGGAACGCATCCATACAGAAGGACAACTCAGTACATTTACCATGGATTTCTATGGTGGAATCCTGTGCTCTCTAGATTCTCTGTCGATAAATGTGGACTATCGTCTCCTCCAGCTCCAAGTTATATAAAGAATAATTTACTGGAAATTTAAGGATGGATTTACTTGGGAATAAGTGTTTGTGGCTTTGGATTGATTCTTGGATTGTTTATGGCCGACCTAATAATTTTCAATCAGTCAAAAGCCGAGATGGTTTCGCGTGATTGTTGAAGATCTTGGTAAACCAAGTGAAAAGGCAAAGGAAGAATCGACTTGAGGGAAGATGAAGTTCTTGTGTCACTATGACATGCAAGAAAAGATTGCTTTTGTACAGAAATGAAGAGCCAACAAAATGGTGGGAAATCATCCATTAGTTCTGAAAATTCAGATAAAACAACGAAAACAAACAAGGAAAACACGGCTGCTTTGTACAGAAATGAAGTTGACAGAGGCCTTGATCAATGATGATGTGAGTACAAAATCGAAAAGGAGGGAGCTTCAATCCCGCTCTGGTGATGTGAGTACAAAATGTCATTGTAGTAACAGACCCCATCGTAAGGGTAGCTCGTTGTGGAGGTAAGAATGTCAATATCTGCCGAAGATGGCATTTTCCATATGAATTTACAATTCATCGAAGACACTAAGAAGAGGGTGGTATGGCCATGGTGATGAAAACATCTGCTTCTTCTTCCATCCTGTCTCGTCATTATCCAATCATGGAGGAACGCAACAGCAGCAGCAGCAGCAGCAATGGAGAGAATTGTCTCTTTGAGAAGTGCATTGCCTCCATGATTCTGATCTTTTTCTCAAAATCAAAAGTCCCGTTTTCATCATTCTGAATCACTGTCAAGGCTTTCCATCCCTTTCAGTCCCCTTCGCTTAGGCTGCAAGGAATTAAGGTAGCGTGATTCATAGAAATATGGATGAAAAAAGAAACCAAATGAGACAAAAAGCTTCAGGGCAAATATGTGAAATAGGGACATTGTAAGGGGACAGAATAGAAATCATAGTAATGTAGAGGCACTGAAACGCAATATCGACACATTTATTATTTATAGTTCAATACTAAAGGGCCAATCTACAAAGTCAAATGACCCAAATAACGGTAGGCCGAAAGCCCAAGTTTGCTTGGTTGAAAATGAAACGTAAAACAAGGATAAGTAGTCCATCTGACAACGGGATGACCAAACGTGGGACCAATCCCTAAATTATTTAATGTTATGGAATTTCAATTAGTAATCATTAATTTTCCTCTAGATTACCATAATTTCACGGTTACATACCAAGTAAAATATATATTAGAACAATAAACAATTTATAAAATACGCGTTGATTAGTAAAAAGGCGTTGGGTTTGGGCCGATCACCTTTTTTTTTTCTGTTTTGACTTACTTCTGTGTTAACAAAAGAAAATCTGAAAGAATAATAACCAACAAAAATACTGTAAATCAATCATGTCTTCACGATTTTACCCAAAAATTATTTTTTAAAATAAAATCGAAACCAAAAAAAAAATAAAAAAATTCCTTTCATCAAAGGCTTTTATTTTTCTAAATTGCTGTCACATAAGATTCCAGATTAGGTGGGTGGGGGTCCACTGATGATAACGCTGGACTGAGATTTATTTAAATTTAAAAATAATTATTACAAAACTCATCATCCAATTCCAGGTGGAATGGTGGATCCTATGATTTCTACAGCATTCTTACGGAATTATTATTACAAAAATATCCCGCTTGCGTTCACGTTATGGGAGTGTTTCCTTTAATGTTAACTGATTATTACTTATATATTTAGTTAAAAGGTTAGCGTTGAAAAAAGCCCAATAAATAAATAATTACTACTAGCAAGTAGGAAGAATGAATGAATAAGAAGGGCTGTAGGGAAATGGAAGAATATAATTACCTTTTTGGGACACTTTTTTTCCCGCACTTCATAACGACCCCGCGTCAACTCGGAAAGCCACATTCCAGGAAAACAATACTGCCCAACCAAAACCACCACCAAAAACCACTAAAATTATCATTCCACATTTCCAACAATTCACATTTTACAAAAGTCCTCTTTTTTTTTTTTTTTTGGTCCCAGCCATTAATCACAAACAATGAATTATACCCAAAAACTAAATATCAAATGATTGTCATAGGCCAAATCAAGATTAGGTGAGACCACAAAGTTTTCCTATCTCATGAGGTTGTTGATCACAAAGTTTTCCCCTTCTACCAAGAGGAAGGAGTCCTTATATATATATTTTTTAAAACAGTTTCTATTTATAGTCAATTAAATTAAATAAGACTACCACATTTTGTTTTTGAAGAAATGATTTCACTCTCATTTTCTCATCAATAACTATCAAAAACACTATTACAACAGACAATCTTGATTAAATAAATATAAGATTATTGTACCAATTAATAAAAGAATTAAAATAAAATAAAACATACAAAGACAATGGGTTGAATTGGGAAGAATACCTGGAGCATTCTATCAACAGTTTTGGACCTTTTCTTAGGTCTATGAGGAAGCTTTGTCCCTTTCATTGCTAAGAAATCCTCTTCTTTCTCCTTCCTTGATAGTGGTATGTATATTCTCGGCCACTCATTCACCTCATTTCCACCACCGTTATTCCCCTTTTCTCCTCCTCCGGCCACCATTTTTCCCGGCCTAACACCGTTAATATTGCTATCCTCGTTGGTGCTGCAACCACCACCATGTGGTGGTGACATAATACCATTTTTTACATCTCCACCACCACCTGCTTCTGCCTGATGTTGTTGTAATACCGAGGCGGAGCCACCACCATTATTCATCTTTTCATCTCTTGGGCTCTTTTTGTCGAAAGAAGGCACCTTTTTCCCCACTCTAGATCTAGAAGAAACTCCCCTGCTACTGCTGCTGACATTATTTCCCGGCGCCGGTGACGGAGACTTGTTCCCACCAACAATGGATCGCTCTTCCAAATTCCTTCTGTTGTTCATTATGAGTCCACCCCGAAAACAACAACAAAAAAACTCAACTCAGATTTTTCGACAAATTCTTTAATAAAAGAGACGGGACAAAGTGATGATGATGATGACAAATTGACACAGTTTCTTGAATTGGTTAGTTGGAAAAATCAAAAGGGCTTCTTTCTCAACAAAGCCTATAACATTACAAAAAAAAAAAAGCAAGCCCCCATTGCACAATTCCAAGCTACTACTATTATAATATTATGATGACTTATTATAATTGCAGATAAATCAAGGGTAGACAACAACAACAAAGAAAAGACATTACTTTAAATGCCCACCTAAAAAGTAGAAAACACAAACACACTCTCCTACTCTCCTCTTAAGTATAAAAACACCAACCATCAGTTAAAATAACCCATATAAATTCAATTTTGTGTATCAAAAATCAAACCCAGAGTGAAATTGAAATACAGAGAAAGAGATCAATCTCAGAGGCTGACTAAACCCTTTATTTTAAAATCATGGAACAGTTGGTCAAAATAAAGAAAAAGAAGACCCAAGAATTGGAAAAATTGGAGGTGTCTTTTTGGGTTTTGACGCGCATAAGAACGGGCATCATGCTTGACTGTCGACTACTTAACGATCAGATTGATATAGGGGATTTTAGTATTCATCAAACCCTTTTCCAAAGGGGTAGAAGAGGTAATCACCAATTCACATGCTCAACAAAAAAAGAAAAAGTCTTCTTCCAATTTTTTCCACTCAGCAATTTGTCCAGATTCTTTGGTGCATCAAAAAAAGGCACAAGTCAGAGGTCAGCAAATTAGATCAACCACAATGGTCGAATGAAACAACAAAAAGTTACTCCAAAACCAGAAGAGCAAGAATCCCAGCTCAAGCCAGCACTAGAAAAGCCAGAACTAGTAATTTCAAAAGAAAACCAAAAATAAAACCTTTAAAAAATGAAAAAAAAAAAAAAAACAAAACAAATTTGAAGAGGGCCACTCTGAAATTCCCAAAATCCAATGTTTCCACGGCAAATAAGATTTTCTGATTAATTTTGTGACCATCAAAGGGTGAAAAACACAAACTTCAAAGAGAATTGTGAAAAAGCCAAAAAGGGATTACACAAAGCATACCTTACAGGAGATGGGCTGGAAGAGTTGCTTTTGGTTGGTGTTCTGAGGTTTGGTCCTCTGGGAACTCCATTATTGGTGGTGGAAGGTTGTGAAGGAGGTGGCATTGCATTAGCATTTGAGTTTGGTGATTGAGGCAACATTCTCCTTTGCAGCTTGGAGGAAGGTTGAAGATTTGATGTTGATGAAGATGTCTCATCTGTCAATGCCCCCATCCCTCTAGAGCATCTAGACCTCTTTCTGTGACCCCATTGCAAGAAAGTATCATTGACACCACTTTTAACTACTCCATTGCTTTCATGGTTGTGATGATTCTTACTAGTGGTACTACTAGTAGGTGGAGAATTGGGGTCTTCAGCTTCAGCACCATTGATACCATTTCCAATATGGTTCTCTTGAGCAGTCTTGGATGGAGATCTAAATCTTGAAATCCCCTTGCCTTCAAAGCTGGAGCTGGCTTTTGCCATTACAAGACCACTGCTTTCCTCTCTGTCTTCATCTTCCTTGCCATTTTTCCAACTGGGATTAGAAGCTGAGGAAGTTCTTCTTCCATTGTTGAGGGTTAGACTATCTGGGATGCCCCTCTGATACCTGTGACACCAAATTCCAACTCAAATTAGAGGCTAAAAGAAAAGTCTTATGATGGAGAGATAAAGCATATCATACTCAAGATACCATTACAAACAACCATACCAACATATGCACATTACCATAAATATGTATGATTAAGAACATAACCAAGAGAAACACAAGCATAGGATCTCAGCAAAACCAAAGAAGTTACAGATAGGTGGAAAACAATCTGAATAAAAAGATCAGTCTTCCTCAAGGAAGTAATGACTGAATCACACTAATAGGGAGGAAACAACTAGAATCCAAACAAGGCATTTTGTTTCAGACACCAAAAGAACTAAGATTATGGAGGAGGGCTATAACAGAAGAAGAATCAATTTTACAGAAGCAGAGGACTAATCAGTGTACAAAGAAAGCTCAATTCCAGAGAAGGACAAACAGTGATGTGAAAACCAGGACTAATTCCAGAAACCGATTTCTCCAATCCCAATTCTATATGGAGTAAATATCTCAAATACATCCATCAACAAAAACACAAGCTACAATGCCTTATTTACTAAAGAGAAACAGAATCCTCCGCAGCTCAGTAGGATTCGTACAAGGAGACTAAAAGATGTTCTCCAGATACCCATTTCGTACTTTGATCTGCTGATCAGCTTCATCAACTGAAAACACCAGACCAAATCAATTCCCCTATGCAAGAAGCATATCTGGGTATTTCAAACTTCAAAGCAGAATGGGATCTTCTTTCTCATTGTCCAATCCCACAATCCTCTTCTGGCGAAGAAGTTGCCACTTTGACGGCGGCGGCGATGACAAAGAAATTAGTTCTCCCATTCATCCCAAAGTGTAACCCAAAAGATTAACAACAAAAGAAAGAGAGAGAGAGAGACGAGTCAGTGAAAATGAAAAGGATCCATCACTGGATTCGAATGGATGCAGAAATGACTAAGAAATCCGATCTCAAAGACTCAAATTATGAAGAAAGATCATCCAAAATTAACATCCAAAGGATTCAAGATTCCGCAATTCTTGAGCAGGAGACACATCCCATCAAACAAGCATAAACACGCAAGGAAGGAGAAGACAACAGAATTGCAATGAAGGGTTTTTCGCTCCCCACCTCATGATCATTTACAGCCCCAATAAAAACCCACAGAACACAATCCAGCTACTGGGTCAGTCGATAGAAGTTTCAATCTCCAAGATTCCACTGATTGACTATTATAATCCCTCTCTAAAAATCCACCGTCAGTGGCCAACCAAAGAACAACATAGACACAAGAGGAGGAAGAAGAAGGGATGTCGTTATAGTGTACTAAATTCTCTCTCGAGTTTGAACAAATGTGCAGCGTAATCTTTTATGACATCACAAGAATCGAGAGATGGAAAGACAGAAAAAAAAAAAAAGAAGTGAGAGAGAGTACAGGGGAAGAAGGAGAAGAAGGAAGGTAGGGAGGCAAGAGAAAAGACTGAGAATGAAAGGGAAGACAAAGAAGCGAGAGAGAAAGAAGCTGCAGTAGGGGAAAGTATACTATGTTTGTTTATTGGACTTAAGTTTGTGGTTTCCGTGTGATTTCCCTAAATTGCCCCGTATTTGTTTTGTGTCCTCAAATTTTCCTAGTCATTCTTGGCCCAATTAAACTATCATCTCTCCCTCTCATGGGGATGTTAATGTGTGACAAATGCACATTGTAAACTTTAGTAAATGTTAAACCCGCGCAACGGTGATCGGGTTATTATTTATATATATATATATATATATATATATATATATTGCCGATATTAAAAATGTTAAAAAATATAAAATGTATTTAAAGTTCATATTTGTAAATAGTAAATATTAAACCTGCACATCGATTTTATTTATATACATTGCCGATCCTAAAAATGTTAAAAGTATGAAATGTATTTAAAGTTCATATTAGTAGTATATATTATATGATTATGTTTTGTGCAGTTGTTTTTATGCACCTTCTGACAAGCTGTTTGTAATATTGGGTGGAGATAGTATTCTCCTTTCTGGAGGTTTTTTGGTGTCAGAAGGGTGGAGGGTATAATTATTGCTGCCAAGTATGCTTGTGAGAATAGGAAACCATGTCACTGGAATATGTTTAGGGGTGCAAGCTGCTGTAATTGAATGTGCCTTATCTGTCCTTGGAAGCAAGATGCTAATATCAAAGAGTCATTTTATGGTCTGAGCTATCTTACTGCTGCTGTATGTTGATGGATTTCTAATGTTTAGTAGTATGTAAACTGTTGTTTGACTCATCAGTGTCATTGTTGCTGCTTTGCAGAGTTCATGTCCATGTACTGTTGCCCGCTGCCATTATTTTCCATTGATGAAATCTCTTCACAAGAATGTCAAGAAATAAAAGGATATATTTGCTGCAGCCTCTGGCTTACTGGATGGTTGGCTAAAGGAGAAGAGCACGACCTCAGCCAGGCCCTCTTATGGATTGTGCAGCGGCACCCCACAAATAAAGGCAAGTCATAATGGAAACGAAATTAAAAACCTTTTAAGTTAGTTTTCCCCGCCCATTGCAACGGGTGTGATTATATCAAATTTGCTGCGAGCGTCTTGCAAGGATTAATGTGTGTTATACACGGGTTCTCAGATTCTACAAGAGTTTGTTTCTTTTTTCGCAATCAGCGCAATTACAGTTACAGCAGCAAGATTAATGTGTGTTACACGGTGTTCTACAGGTGTTCGCGATCAGCAACAGATTATAGTTACAGCAAAAATTCAAGTACAAAATGGGATGTTGAGGGGTTTTTCTCTTTCACTCTGTTTACTTGGGATGCTTCCAAATATCCAAGTGACAGAATCTTTGACGTATTATAGGCATTGTATTAACCAACATGATTAGCTATCTAAATGTATACATTGCTGCTTGTTATGTCATTTACTAATTTCCTCATTGTGAATCGCAGTTATGATATCTTGTCACAATTTAGCATTCATAAAAGGACTTCGGAAACTTTCATTTCGTCAGGGCACAGTATCTAATTATTACAGCCGATTAACCTAAGTACCTAACTTATTAGAATGACCAGGAAAATCACATCAGCCTTCGGGATGAAAAAGATGGGAGCGCACTCCAGTAGCACTTCAGTCCACACCAAAACGAGCACGGATGCGTAAAAAAACGTCCCAAAAGGAATCATAAGCGTGAAATCTTAGTGCCGTCCTTAAGAAGCTACGTCTTGTTTTAGTGCTGCTGCTGCTGCTGCTAATACATCGTCATTGTAAAAGGCCACTTTACACCCATCAGCTCCAACACAGTAGGCTGAAAACACAGAAGAGAGGTCCATACTGGTCAGAAGGATAAAAACCAAAGAAGCGAAAAGATCCCTAAGATCATCAATTAAAAATGACATGTACGAAGCAAAACTCGAAAGAAACAAACATACCACTGACAAAACCACCAAAATCACCACCGCATCCATCATCTTTATCAGCAACTGCAGAAGCAGCCTTAACAATAGAATCTCTTGCATATTTTGAAGCTTCAACAAAGGACATCTTGAGAGGACTTTTGCTATATATAGAAATACAAACAGATGAGTATGACTAACATACACGAAAAAATATCAGAAGGAAATATGAGTCTTACCCGGCTACCACCTACAAACAAACTAACATGAGCAAACGGTGAACTTGCCATCAAATATCAGAAGAAAATATGAGTCTTACCCGTTATCACCGAGAAACAAACTAACATGAGCAGATGGATAACCAGATCCCGCGTAAAAACACGTCTTCGCTAACAGTCAGCCACGGTCATCCACCCCACGCAAGTTAGGCTCCTACACAGAAACCAAAAATTCAAACGGTGTAACAACAATAAGGTCAGAAGAAAAACCTTGCCACATTGCAAGAAGTGTGACTAACCTTAAGAGTTTCGTCCCACCCTGCAATCAGTATTTGTAACGGCAAACCTTCAGTGTTGAGGGAAGGCATAGTGTTCTTCACCCAAAATGCTGCTCTGACAACAGAACTTCTTATTCTACTGTCCGTGAGTTCATCCTGACGGTACTACATTAATGAATGAAAGCAATCAACAATCTTCCAAGAAAGTTCAACAAAAAGGCACATAACTATATGGGAACACGAGCAGACTATGACAAATTTTTATCACCTGATAAATGTATATTTTTCCATTGACTTTTAACACAGTTGTCACTCTCTATCCATATTTGATGCTAGGAAAAAGAGGGAAGAGATTAAAATTACCTTGCTCCTCAGATCTGGGAGTAAAGATCCTGCCTTAATGTCTCCGGTAATAGCGATAAGCATCCGAGGATTAAGAGCTATAATATTGTCGACAGAGCCTAAATTCAACATATAATAGAGTCAATTCTAATAGGGTTCAGCAAATATGGAGCTCCTAAAAGTAAAGCAAAATCACTAACATATCCCAACAAAGCAACACAACTCACAAAATGAATGGTCGGCGGCAACCATGACCCCTTGTTTACAAATAAAACCCATGACCGTGGTTCCGTTTTCTATCTTGACGTAAGGCTCCTCATCGCCCTATAGCAGCACAACGGAAAAATAAAATAATTAAACAAACCCAAGGAAAAAAGGGGGAAAAAAAAAAAAAAAAATCAACTTACATAAAGGCTCTTTAAAAGCTTCATCGTCAGAGTTGTAAACCGCGCAATCTGCAGCGGCGTCAAGTCCAGAAGGCAGTTGCTCCCGTTCCGAAGCCATGATTCTCTCGGTCAATCCAACACAAGATAAACAAAATCTAACTGATAGCAGCAAGGTAACAGAACAAAAAAGCAAGGAAAAAGAATTCAATTTTAAAAATTTCTAATTCCGCTCTTCTCTGCCGTAATCCGCTATTCCCCTCCTCCTACACTGGTTATTCTCTTCCGAATTCCGCCACTTAGTTACCGAGATCTTTCTGTCGCAGGTTTTAGTGTTTCAATTTGTTAGGAGTATTGTTAATTTTTATCACAGTCATATGCGCTAATTTAGGCTCTGTTTGTTTATTTTTTTATGATTTTTTAATTTTATTTTATTAAAATAAAATATATCTTATTACATTCTCAATACAAAAAACATTTAAAAATACACACTAAAAACACAAAACAAACATACCCCGTTAGTAATGTAATCCTTTTGACCTCCTTCATTGTACCAAAAGGGAGAAAAAGTGGAAGATAATCTTTAGGCCACAAACGGTATCTCAATATTATTATTTAATTTAAAATTTTCACTTTTAGCCAACAATTTTAATCGAGGCAGGAGTAGCACATCTAAAAAATGTATCAATTTAAGCGTTACTTAGTTCAAAGAATTTAAATTTGAAACGTTTTGATACAATTTGATAAATTTTAAATATCCAACTTCAATGCCCTCCCTGTGCAAATAATACTTGTGACGGTAAAGGGATATTATAACAGAGTAAGACCACTCTTCATGAAAAAAAAAAAAACAAAATACTACTCTCGAAGTTTCATAAAAGAAAATGATGATTGATTGGAATGAAATGAATGATACAAAATTCTAAAGTTTCAAAAAAAATAATAAATAAAAGATACAAAATTCTACAGGGAGAAAAAAACCATCTACATCTGTCTACCGGAAAAGCCTCGGAACTGATCTCTTTGGGACCCTGCCCTCAAGTTTTAGTCTTCTGTACGCTTCCCTGATATGGCAGGGCCTGATCGGTCCTCTCTCTTTTCTTTCTGTCATCACAATTCGGGCTGCAAGGATGAATGCAAAGGATAACGATACTATGAAAATCAGAAAACTTCCATAAGAGTTTGGTTAAACAAGAGTCTTTCAGCTAGTTCCCACTAGAAATGAATACGATTCGTGTACTGTGCATACTTCTATCGAATGTCACGTAGTGTAGCAAGATATTTTTAACATGTTTCAGATCAAACAAGGAATAATTGTTGGTCTTTTGGTAATAAAAACTCTCTGTCAAGAGGTGCCAAGAAACATTATCCAAAACATTACCTGTTTCCACAAGCTCTCCAACAAACATTTTCGCTATACCAGATACTACAATTGTCATAGGAACTGATATTTTTGAACTTCCAGTAATGCTTGTTAGCAACTGCATTCATAAAATAAGACAAGAAAAAATTAATATAGGAGTTACTAAGAAGGATTGCAATGTAAATCAAAAGCTGTTGCCTGCATGCAACAATTATGAGGTTCAAAAAATAAGGTCACAAGATAAGGATTAAGAAGTTTGCAAGGCAGCATGCATGCTCTTAACAATTATACCCACTTCTATTTCCGAAGCCCTTTACAACCAAAAGTTCGAAATAACAGAAATAGAGACAAAGAGAAAATATATTTTACATGGAACAGGGTACTAGAAGCTTAATAAACATGCATGGAGGAAGAAAATTCCATCTGTCCTTGACATTACATACTCTCAAGAATTTCAATCTGTCATTGAAAATTACATACCCGTTTGATGTTAGATCTTTGCAAAGTGGATCTTCGAAATGATTCATATCTATTCATTTGCTCATCAGTGAACTGCGACAAAATAGACCTACAAAAAGAAAATGAGTCAATTTGGAAAATATAGAATGATTAAGAGTGTCTTAATCAACATTTAGACGAATCAGTTTTTCTTTAGAAAAAAATAAAAATAAAAAGAGCTTCCCATCCATGTAATACTCCAAATACTTAAAACCATTTTCCCCAGTCACTGTGTTATATTATCACATTGAGAACCAATAAAAGAATAAACAGAAAAACAAAAATAAACAGCAAAATCTTTCTCCTTCATTCATCAAAAATAGAGTATGTACATTTCTTCGTAATGTTCTGACTCCATAACTTCTTAAATCATACAAACATTTGCTTACATTCAGTAAAACTAAGATAAATTGAAAGTTTAGATTTTATTACAATTTAAAGAATAGACTCAGAAAAAAAATCTTAGAGGAAGCACAATTAACAATTCTCAATTCAACAGTATGTAGTGCACAAATAAAAGGGTCTATATGCCAAGATTTTCTTTAATTGAAACCAGAATGGCAGAGATAAATACTTAGACAATCTGTAACACTTACTGCATTTTTGCCTTTTGATCAGGGTCGCCATTAGGGAGTCTTGCTAGCTCAATTTCCATGTTCTCTTCATCTTCCTCATCATCATCTTCTTTCGACTTCCCAATTGGTCCGGCAGTACCAATTGCTATGGAAGAACTCGCGGCAGAAGGGTTTGATGGATGTAGAGTTGCATCCGCCTCATCTCCCTGATCATTGGCAGCCACTAGTGTTTGAGTTTCATTCTCATCAGGACCAGCGGGAGATTCAGGTGGTGACTCTTCTTGCTCTTCAAAGGCAACCTCAAAAGGGTCTTTAGACTGTTTCATTGCGATCTGTCTCAGCTGAAGACAGTAGCCGAAATAATAAATCTCACCGACATTACAAAAAGAACATAGAATAACAATAAAAATATAAAGGCAGCATCTAAAAAATATAAGGGCTTCAGAAGCAAAGTTTCAGCCAACAAAATCATCACCTTAATTCAAAGCACAAAATGCTCTTCTTTTATGATTAGCTTAACAATTAAATGACAGCAACATGGAGTGCACAGACAATGGTTTGCAAGAGCTCAAAGAAATCAACAAATGTATTTTGTATGCATACGTACATGGAAACCCGCAGACATAAATAAGACAGGACTAGCTAATACCGTATTTATGTATAACTTACTACATAGAAAGATCAATAACAGACACCATTTACAGGCATATACGGCATGGAGTATAAAAGGGATTCTATGGGTTCTATTGAGCACTAAAAGGCAAAAAGACAAAAGGCACTTATAACTTGCAAGTCAGCAGTTCATATCCTAACCAAAGCCAAATACTTATTTTTCAAGAATCTTTCCCCTCTACTATCTTTTGCTTTCCCTTTCTTTAAAAATTTCCCGATGGCCCCTAATGGTTACAACCCCACAGGCCAGCTCCCTAGCCAGCATTTCACCACCTTTAGGATCCACTTACACTTAATATGGCTCATCATTAGTACTGCAATAACAGCAACCTAATTCAATGCAATCAATGCATCCAGAAGACAAAGTTTACATTGGGAACGTAGCTTTATGGAGGTGGGAATATAGCTTTGTGAGTCCAAAACAAAGCCCTACCTATTTGATTGACACTAAACAAATAAAGGCTCGGTAAGTACAGCAATTCAGGGCTGATACTCCCTATTCTGGCATACAGAATGGACGGAGGTGGACCGTTTACTTGGACCGTGGAGGAAGTAGGTAGCATCCTATAGCAGGATAATGGGAATCAACCGTAAACAGTCATAAGTTCAATGTAAAATGGTTTTAAGGCAACCCATGACACATGTTTTAAGAAGATGACATACATGACATTATAGATCAACAATAATACCAATAATAGGATACACATAAAAATTGAGTTTATTGGTATCATTGTTACTGTACAAATAAAAATAACGCTAAATGACGTTACAATTCTTGCATCAACCGTTCAAACTTAAAATCTGAACTAAGCCAGGATGGCCCGCGCTTGAAATGAAGTTCTGACCTCTAGAATACATAGGAAAACCAAGCAGTAACAGGATTCTTCTATGCTTTAAGTTGCCAAATTGACAAACGTGTTAACTCCACTAGAACCAACTATGAATCAGTTGCTGCAACCCCAAAACAATTCATGAGATTTCACCGGAAGACAGCCATCAGTTCGTCCATTATGTTAAGCAAGATACCAATTTTTCAATCCAGGGTGCAGCAAAGAGCAACTCAGACCCAACAGATCAAATTTCTTACAAACAAAGTAATAATGATAAACGGTAAAAAAAATTCTGAAATTACATTTCTGCATACTTTTGTATGCATGGACCCAAAACCAAGGAGACATTCACGATTTGGAAGCGAAGAATTGCACGAACTATTCTCGTGAATTTATAAGCATAATTCATCCATAATCACAGTGGATAGACAAAAAAGATTCATGAATAAAAAATACCTGAATGATCAAAAACAAGTTCTGCCCCAATACGCGAATCGCAAATTTCCGAGCAAAACGTGATGCTCCGAATTGAAGCTCCGAGAAAGAAAGGACGAAGAGAAACTTCGGATGAACTCACAGCGAGATGAAAAACAGCAGAGAAGATCGATCAGAAATCAGATTCTGTTTTAAGGAATTAGGGCACGCATAAACGACGTCGACTGTTTCATATTTTAGGTGGGAGAAAAACAGACTAGAGGCAGCAGATGTATTGGGGAATATTGGCGGATACATCTCAACCTTTACCCTGTTAGATAATTCATCCTAAACTTTTAAAATTGAATGATTATATCTCAAAATTTTTAAAATTAAGCGCAACCATCCCATGACCTATTGTTAACCTAGAATAATAGGTAAATTTTACTTAATTTCATAAATTCTACTTAGTTGGATCACTTCTTCTGCCAATTATTCCTTTTTTTTATTTTTTATTTTTTCATTTAATTTTAATCTAATTAATTATGTCATTCCATCACCTCATCTCTCCCAATATCGTTACCATTACTGAACAAAACACTCGGTTTTCAATCTGTTTGTAACTTTTTATGGTTTTTTTCATAATAGTTTATCAATAAATGTCCAATTTCTGAATCTTTTATATTTCCAACACACTTTTTTACAATCTCAATCTTAATACAAAAAAAAATTACTTAAAAACACACACTGAAAAAGATCCAAACATAGGTAAGGGTTTCAATTTATGTATGAAACAGGTGAAATCGAAATCCACCATACATTATTTAGATATTAAAAAAATATAAGAAATAAAAAAAAAAACAATTGCTTCTTCATAAGAAGGTCATAATCAGGTTTGGAAAAATTTTATTAAAAAAATATGACTAAAATATCCAAATGGTCCCTTACATTTGGGCCTACTTGAATTTACGTCCTTTACATTAACATTTCAATATCGTGGTCCCAAACATTATGTTTTCACACTTTTTTGGTCCCATTTCACTATTTCTGGGTGTTGACATTCCGGAATCAGGGGTACTTTTTGTCTTTTAATTTAATTTAAATTTTAATAAAATTTAAATCATTAAAAATATTTTAAAATTTAGATTTCATTATTTAATTGTTAAAATATTATTTATTAATTAAAAATATTATTATAAAATTTTAAAATTTACATTATTTTTAAAATTAATTTTTTCGTTTATCATTTATCTTAGGTCAAAGTAAATAGTAATTATGTTACATTTTTAACCTTAGACCCACTGTAACTTAAAAAATTTACCGAGTTACAGTAAATAATTCAAAATTCAATTTCTTTAAAAAAAAAAAAGAAAAAGCCAAACTATTTTTTTTTACTCTGATCGCTATAGTAAACCCTAAATGGTAATTATGTTGCACTTTTAACCTTGGACCCACTATAACTTAAAAAATTTACCGACTTACAGTAAATAATTCAAAATTTATTTTTTAAAATAAAAGGAAAAATCAAAACTAAGATTTTTTTTTACTTTGACTGCTACAGTTGAATTTTGAATTATTTACTGTAACTCGGTAATTTTTTAAGTTATATTGGGTCCAAGGTTAAAAGTGCAACATTAGGGTTAACTGTAGCGGTCAATTACTTTGTTTTACTTTTTTTTTAAAAAAATTAAATTTTGAATTATTTACTGTAACTTGATCAATTTTTTAAGTTATTGTAGGTCCAACATAGCGGTCAGAGCAAAAAAAATCTTGGTTTTTTCTTTTTTTTTGGAAAAAAAAATTGAAATTTGAATTATTTACTGTAACTCAGTAAATTTTTTAAGTCACAGTGAGTCTAAGGTTAAAAGTGTATTATAATTACCATTTAGGGTTTACTGTAGCGGCCAAAGTAAAAAAAATCTTGGTTTTGTTTTTTCTTTTTTTTTTTAAAAAAAATTTGAATTGTTTACTGTAACTCGGTATTTTTTAAGTTGCAGTGGGTACAAGGTTAAAAGTGTAACATAATTACCATTTAGGGTTTACTGTAGTGGTCAGAGTAAAAAAAAATCTTAGTTTTGCTTTTTATTTTTCTTTTTTTAAAAAAAAGTAATTAAATTTTGAATTATTTACTATAACTTGGTTAATTTTTAAAGTTACAGTTGGTCCAAAGTTAAAAGTGCAATATAATTACTATTTACTGTGTACTTAAACTAAATAGTAAATAAAAAAAGTAATTTTGAAAATAATGATAAATTTTAAAATTGTACAATAATATTTTTAATTAATAAATAATAGTTTAACAATTAAATAATGAAATTTGAATTTTAAAATATTTTTAATGATTTAAATTTTAATAAAAATTTAAATTAAATTAAAAGACAAAAATATCCTGATTCCGGCATGTCAACGGCCGGAAACAGTAAAATGGGACCAAAAAAGTGTAAAAACATAATATTTGGGACTATGATATTGAAATGTTAATGTAAGGGACGTAAATTCAAGTAGGCCCAAATGTAAGGGACCATTTGGACATTTTAGTATAATAGTAAAAATTAATATAGAGAGAGAGAGAGAGAACTAATTTTCACCTGTTATATCAGGTCAAATTTGTTTTGTTTCAGGTTATGCGATATTTGCGCTCAATTTTAAAAACATTGAGATATAATCACTCAATTTTAAAAGTTTGGGATGAATTGATTAGCAGAGGTTAAACGTTGGGATGTATCCACCAATATTCCCAGCTGTATTATATTGGAAGTTTATATTCCATCTTGTATATATCGTAACAACAATTTTCATTTTTTGTTTACTTTTTTTTTTTCTTTCTTTTACTTGGTGGTAATAGTCTTAATAGTCCCTTACATTTTAGGAAATAAAACGTTAAGTTCACATGCATTAAAAATGATTAATTTTAGTCCCTTCACAATTCACATGATACAACTATTTACTATTTGGTCATTTGGTACCATATTAGTCAAAAAAACAGGTTGGAGATGAATAAAAAAAAAAGTGAATTTACGATAAAATGTAAACTCTCCATAGTGTAGAGTTCCAGTCTTTAAGAGGAGAATTATATTCATATGTTCTTTTATTTTGACTACGTTATTGAATGAGTGAAATGATTACGAATTTAGTATATTATTACACATCGGAAATATTATAAATTGTATAGTATTATACCTGGAAGTATTCAGCATGAATCGTATAAGAACACGACAGTTCTTCAATCCTGAGATGTTAATTAAGCCGATTAAAAACCGAATTTAATCACCTACTGTTGAACCTCCTTGAAGAGCGAGCAGCAACAACAACAACAAAACCTCCTCATGACGAAAGCAGAAGACCGAGCAAGATGAGGGGCTAACAAGTTGAACTTTTTTGCTTTACAAGAGAAGGGTGAAGACACTTTACTAATGATGGAAAGACAAAAGATGGATCGCAAGGAGAGATGTTGAATTCCATGATGATCTAAAGATTAATTAATTAAGATTGCATGGTTACTTCTTGTAATGGAATAGATTAATTTGATTTGTATTAACATTTAGAATGTTAATAATATTGATCTGACTCCCATGTCACCAAAATTTTCACGAACGAGTTGGAAACCTCTCAATATTGAGATTAGAAATAAAAGTTTCAAATTCCTTCTAATATATATCTAGCTTTTTATGGAATTTAGTTCTGGTAATTATTTCACATTACATTGCAACCTTCGAATATATCTACTTTTGTTATGGAATTTAGTTGGAAACTTATATATATCTTACTATATTAGAAACAAAAACTACGCTTAGAGAAAGTATCTCCATCTGCCATGTGGCATTTTCACATCATATTTTTAAAATAAATTTTTATTTATACATCTCCTAGACTTAAAAGGAAAATGCAGTCCAAATCCACTATCACCTCCTATTTTTGCCAAAAAAAAAATCACAGGTTCATAAAAAACCCAAATCCTCATTCTCATCTCCACGACAATCGACTTTCTAATCAATCCCTTCTCCACAATAAAAAAAAAAACAAAAAAAAATTCCTCATCAATCATCAGTTGAGAATATGTGGTGAAATATACTCCTTTCCTATTATCATGTTCAATTTTTTCATTAGTGATGATCAACTACATCCTAATCGAATAAAATTTCGAGTTCAACAAATATTCTCTTTACCTCTCTATATAAACACAAAGAAGAAAAAAAAATTTCATTAATCTTGCTTCGGCCGTTGTGGTGGTGCCATTACAGGTATTAAAAATTAAATGATTTTATTTTCACAAATCATTTGTTTGGCTTTTATTATTTTTTACTTTTTTCGTTCAATAATAGTGTTATTACTATTATTTTTATGCGTCCATCTGTTACAACTACCGTAACCGTTGTCAGGTAATATGATATAATTTTTTATATGGTTAGTTAGCCTATAATTTTTATGATTTTAGTTCTGTTTGGATTGAATCGATTAATTGGGTTTTTGTTACATAGTGTGATTTTTTAAATTTTTTTTTTTTTTTATGTTTCATTCAATTAGAGTGGTTTTCTTTTTTAATTATGGAGTCTCTGTTTTTTTTTTTCCGTATACGGTCAGTTATGAAGTATGTTTTTTCTTTGTCTAATTGCTTTTAATTTTGTTTCATACTCTTAATTGACCAATTATTATTATTATTATTTTATTTTATTTACAAATGAATCGCGTTTTTTTTTTTATGTTCGGACTTTCAAGAATATACTTTTTTAGATTTGGTTTTTGGACTTTTTTTAGTTCCTCATCGTATAAATAGTTCAGATTGCTTCTTTTAACTAATTTATGGGGAAGCCTTTTATGAATTTGAGGTGGAGAGGAAAGGAATGGCGTTTCTGCGTTTATTTGTGTTTTTATAAATCATTTTTACCTACAGAAAAAAATAAATTTCTCAATTTTTAATAGGCTATCTTTTACTTTCTTTTTTTTTTATTTGCCATGGTGAGGTGAGTTCTTTTTTAGTATAACTTGAAACCTATGCAAATTTACATTATTTTGATTCTCATATTTGTGATCAACCAGTTACAACAATTAACCTGTTTCAAAATCATATTTTGGATATTTTACTATCTATAAACTTTTGGAAGAAATAGTTCCAACAATTAAGCGTATACTTTTTGGAGGTAGGAGGAAGCTTACTACAAAGCTATTATAAATCTCAAAAACTAAGTATTGATTTGGCACAACCAATGGAGAACATTAATAAATCATCTTACTAATATTTTAACTTATTAGGATACTTTTATATTTTGTCTAGCATTTACTTCAAGAAATATATTTGATCAATTTATTTATATTTAAGAAGTAACGCTTATAAAATATTTTTAAAATTTTTAAACATTTCTAAAACGTACCGGGCCAAATACAATTCTTTTTATGCCAAATACAAACATTTCTATGATCACACTTATAAAACATTTCTAAATTCTTCAAACATTTCTAAAATATATTGAGCCAAATACAAATTTTTTTTTCAGATACAAATATTTCTAAGATCTACAAATATATTGGGCCAGGGTCGCGCAAATGCGCGACCAGACATCACTAGTATATATAATTGTGACACGTGTCGTCTTCACAACTATCCTTCACTAAACTGTACAAAAATATTATAATTTAGTTAAATTAAATTTTTTTAACTTACTTTAGTGTTCAAAATAATTACCATATCCTATCATTGCATACTTTAATTGCCAATAACCATAAATCTATTTAAACAAAATTATCACAATTATAAATCTATATAAGGTATTTATTTATACAATCAAAAAATTTCAAATATAATTAATACAATACCAAAATATGACAAGATTAATTAATCATGTTCTTATCAGCAAATTAAATAAAAAGTATATTTACTGAATAACCAATTATTAATATCAAATAATTAGTAATCGTATTGTGAATATAATTGTAAATAACTCCAAGTATTGTAGGCAGCTGATGTATTGAGAGCATTTATATTAGATTGAGAGTACTTCTTTTTAGAATACCATATTTAGAATACCATATATCGAGTAAACTACTTAAATGGTTCTTTACAATTGCTAAAAAACTCAATTTGGCCGTTTACATTAAAAATTCACTGATTTGATCCATTGCATTTGTCTTTTACATAAATTTAGTCATTTATATATATATATATATATATATATACATATTTGATTGGTGGTCATAGGGTTGACCATATATTGGTCAAGTCAATAGGGGTATTTTCAGTAGTGTCTAATTTTCAAAATAAAAAAAAAAAAACAAATTGATTATAGTTATATTAATCATATTAATTGATTTATGGTTAATTAAAAAATAAAAAAATTTAAAATTCAAAATTCAAAAAAGAAAAGATCCAAAATCTGATTTTTTTTATACGGTGGGCCTCACATTCAGGTTGTTATTATTGACTTTATTCTTTGACTTTTTTCTCCACGTGCAAAAGGAGGTTTAGAAATAAGAAAGTGTTTGACTGAGAAAAATGGAGAAAAAGAATAAGGCCAATAATAAGATCATGGATGTTGGTCCCCTAGGATTAAAAAATCTAATTTTGTGAAAAATTGTTAATTTTGATATTTTTATTTTTTATTTTTAAATTAATTATAAATTAATATAGTATGTTTAATATTACTTTAATAATTTTTTATATTTTTGAAAATTATGCTTTACCAAAAATACCCCTAATGACTTGACCAAGAAATGATCAACTCGAGAACCACCAAATGTAAAGTGTCAAAAAAATAAATTAGTGTAAAAGATAAATGTAATATCTCTATATACAAATACATACACACACACACACACACACACACATATGTATATATATTATATATTAAAGGAGTTTTTAATCGACACGTGTCGTTCAATGGGTTAGTTTAGCACAAATTGTGGCACGTGTTGTCTCCACAATTCTCCTTCATTAAAATGTAAAAAAAAATTAATTTAGTTAAATTAAATTTTTTACTTATTTCAGTGTTAGAAATAATTCCATATTCTATCATTACATACTTTATTTCTCAAGAACTATAAATCCATCCAAACAAAATAATCAAAATTATTAATCTATATAAGTAATTTATTTACACAATCAACAGATTTCAAATCTAACCAAAGTGGTTGTGGTAGAGTGGAAGGGACTCCTCCACCCTTAACCATAGGTCGAGAGTTCGAACCTCACCATGGGTATGGAGCAACCTTAAATGCTCTGGCCAGCTGTCCCACCCATTGAGATGCCTACGGTTCAGCAAGGTGAATTAGTCACTGTTACCGACGGTGGACACCCTACAAATATGCAAAAAAAAAAAAAAACAAATAAACAAATTTCAAATATAATTAATGCAATATCAAAACATGACAAGATGAATAAATCATATTCTTATCAAATTAAATAAAAAATATATTTACAGAATAACCAGTTATTAATAATTAGATAATTAGTAATTATATTATGAATATAAATGTAAATAATTCAATGTATATTAAGTAGCTGATATATTCAGAGCACTTCTGTTAGATTGAGAGTAATTGTTTTTAGAATATCATATTTAGAATACTAAATATCGAGTAAACTGCTCAAATAGTTCTTTACCTTTGCTGAAATTTTAATTTGGTCATTTATATTAAAAATTCACTGATTTAGGCATTTAGCCCATTACATTTTGCTTTTATATTAAATTCAATCCTTTTTATTTCTTTTTTGACACTTTACATTAGGTGATATAAGGTTGACCATATATTGGCCAAGTCAACATGGGTATATTCAATAATGTATAATTTTCAAAAATATATAAAAAATAATTTGGATTAAAGTTATATTAAAAAATAAAAAATAAAAAATTTAAAAATAAAAAAAGAAAAGATCCAAAATCTAATTTTTTATCCAGGGCCCACATCTAGGCTCTTATTATTGACCTTATCGTTTAATTATTTTTTCTCCACATCCAAGAGGGGGTTCAGTCGTTCAGAAATAGGAAAGTGTTTGAATGGGAAAACTGGAGAAAAAGAATAAGGTCAATAATAAGATCTCGGATGTGGCCCCTAAGATTAAAAAAATCCGATTCTAAATAAATGAATCGTGAATAACAAATTACATTATAAATTATTATTAATTAATAATTTAAAAGTGACATAAAATATTTTAAAACTGTGCAATGGACGAGAATAGTACTAGTCTTTTATAGATTAGCTAGTTTGACAAACTACTGATATTTAACATCTGTTTGCATAATTAAGAGTTTGTATACATAAGTTACTCTCTTCCTTAAAAGAAAGTTTTTAATTTGTTATATTAACTATTTTGACTTAACAAAATGAATATAGAGAGTCAGATTTTGTTATGGGAGTTGGATAGGAGGTTTTACTATGAATATAGAGTTTTGGACCAAGATTGGCGCTGAGTTGTGGAAATTATTTCAAGCACTACATCTTGCATGGGAGCTGGGTGGGAGGAAAATAATTGCGAAAGTGGATAATGCAAGCATTCACATTATCATACAGGGTGACAAAGACATTATCGGGCTCAATGCGGGATTGGTTTATGGCATTTTTGATTTGATCAAGAGAAATTGAATTGTAGAGCTAAAATATATGTTTTGTGAGACAAATTTGGTAAGAGACTATTTAGTTTCACTAGCATCTCAGGGGCCGGGAGTCTACAGAAGTTAGATGCTCTACCTTCGGAGGTCAGACTGTGATTTGAACATGATTTGATAAGAGTTGCAATATAATTTGATAAGAGTTGCATATTCTCGAAATTTAAAAATTTAGATTTAGGCCTCATTCGCTGTAACCAAACAAAAAAAAAAAACTTTGACAAAATGAATTATCTTTTAACTAATTTATTTATTTTGGACATAAAGTATCTGATTTAGAATTGATCAATAATATATAATGGAATTTGTGGTGCAAAATATCCTTGATGGACAATGTTATGAATATAACAATGTCATTTTGGAAAGAGTATAAGTACATTTTAATTAAGGTGTGACAGACTAGTGAATTGTTAGCATTTTACTATCTCACGAGCATTCTTGTCGATCTTTTCATTTTGTTCTTTTAGATAATTCTTATCTTCCTTCCGTGATGTCTTCTGATCTTGTGTCATTAAGGAATCTGATTCTATCATCCATGACGAAAGTGGAGGCAAAATGAATTACAAAAAACCTGCTTGAGATCAACTACTAAGAATCAAAGCCACAGAGCATGTCGGATTGATAAGAGTTCAGCTATCTTTCCTTAAGTTCGAATTCCACCCTCATTAACTTGAAGGATCATAAGATACATCTGAGAATCTCCCGTCCATCGATATACTTTCGACTTTAAAATATCCTAAAGTGCCTTTGCTTCCCTCCCATTGAACAATTTTTTTTTTAAATTTTTTTTTTTTGCAATATTGGGAACCATTTTTCTTTTTTGGTCATTTGTATCATTCCCTTTTAATTTAATCGATTTAATTAACATACATATAAAACTTTTTTGTATTTCATTTCGAAGCTACTTTCATTCTCGAAAGTTTTGAATTTGAAAACTAATTCATAAGGACAACAAAATTACTACCGACAACGTCATACTTTAGCTATGATTTAATCCAAAAATAATTCAATCTTTAAAACCCCCTGAAATGGTAGTTGCCTAAGAAACCAAGAAATCTGTTGTGAGTTTGCTGTAAATAGCCACGTTGAATTTCAACAAAATGTTTATTTTGAATATGGTTAATGTTCAACTTGTAAACTGCCCCCAACTAAGATGAAAGATTAGAGTTCATCATCTATGTACATAATTGAAATGTGATGCATCAGCTTTAACACACTATTATTATCCTTGTTGAACTAAAACAATATAAATGGACTATATTTTCAAAATGAGGACTGAGGAGTAGTATATATAGTAACATAACCAATGAACGTGATGCATCAGAACCTAGAGTTTGAATTTACAATCAAAAAAGGGGAAGGAACTAAGCATTGAGAACCCATCTAAGATCAAGAGAGCAATTGAGTAGATATGCGGCATCTAAGATAGTGAGTTAAGGAAAGCTTTATATTTATCTCCTTCGTCTGTGAACCAGACAAAATACGCATCTTTATACCTGTGGGAAATCAGGAAAAAAAAAAAAAAAAACAGAAGAAGAATAAGAAAATTAGACCAAGCAGACACACAATCAGTTCATAGTAAATGACTTAGCAAACAGGGGTCATTTTTAGTATATTGTGACAGGAAGAGAGGTTAGTAACAGAACCCACATTCACACACTATCAACCTTTAACATCCCAGATTTGTTTAACTTGCCTTGCAGTATAAGTGAGCACAACATTTGGCTTGAGTTTTATGTTACAGTTGTTTTTTTTCCACAATTTACACTTCATCAAACCTATTATTCATTTTTCATCAGTAAAGAAAGAATTTTCTTACGTTTCCAACTTCTCAGAGATATCTCCACCTGCATAGCATAGATCAAAAGCCATATCTTCCTTTCCCTCATCCTCTAGAATTATAGCAGCATCTGTGTACAGGTTAATTGCTTCTATAGGCAAGGCATCTTGTATGGCGCTGCAAAAGAATTCCCTTTTCATAAGTAATGATAAGATATGAATCTAAAGGAGAACAAAAAAAGGGGGGGCTGCAAGGAAAGAGGGTGTATGTAACAGCAGTTTATTAGTTACCCAGATGACTTCAAAAAGTAGACAGAAATATTTATGGGAGAGTTGGAGCTCCAGAGACCAATAAATCTCTCTTAATCCTCTCTCCCTTCCTTTCTCTTTCTGCCTAGTTAACTTCTAAATCACCAGCTATTTCAAAATGATAACAGAGGCCACCAATTTACAAAGTTATACTTAAATAAAGGTATCCAATCAATGATACATGCCATCTTGAACTTCAGTATTTTTTTTTCAAGTTTCACTAAGCATATTGTTCGGGGAGATACCTGAATTTTATACTCAAACTAATAGATAATAGCACAAGAACAAAATAAGCTAAAACTTGAATCTCCAGTAGAATTAGGTACACTACACATAGGTGCTCTGTTTGCCAAGATACTCCATGAACATAAAGAATTTCCACATGTCAACCAGTAGAAATCTCAATATAAAGAATGTAACTGCACAAATGCACACACAGTGACACAGGAAACCGCACATATCATAATAAAAAGTAGAAAGACATCCATGCATACCGTGCAGCCTTAGCAAGCGCATCCGCTGCTAAATGTGATAAGTCACACTCAATATAAGAATCAGATGCTTTGCGACAAAAGAACTCAACTTCGCTCCACTTCTTTTGGTTTTGAGCCTCATTCGCTGCAGACTCCATCTGCCTAGCTGAATCCAAAGACCTGAGATAACTCGTGTTGTTAATACTAACTTTCGATTACTGTGCATATAAAGATGGATAACACCACATGATTTAAGAGTGCCCTAACACAAATACTCTCTGCTACTATACCTGTAAAAGACAGAATCATCCTTGTCACTTTCAACCACTGAACTATCTATATCATCAGTGCCAAAACCCAAATCATCTAAACAACCTAACCAGAAAGAAATACGGAAAAGACTATCAGAAAACACATAAAATCATTGGCCCTTCAATGTAGCTAATAGAAATTGGAGATAAACAGAAAAACTACCAGGTAGGGCTTGTAGATCCAACTTTTGACACTTAAAGACCGCGTCGCTGGTACATTCTTCTCCTGAGCTATCCACATCATAATTGGCCATACCCACACCATCTAAACTACCTAACCAAAACGAAACGTGAAAAAGACTATAAGAAAGAACAAAATCACCACTTCAATTCAGCAAATAAAAATTGGAGATAAACAGAAAAACTACCGGGCAAGACGTCAAGATCCAACTTCTGCCTCTTTCCCGTATGTGGACTCGCTTGATCATCTGGGTCAGATTCCAAACCTTCACGACGCCCTGAAAATCAAAACATCTTCAATTTTAAGCATCCCCAGAAAAATCGATCCTTTTCTTGAAGGAACAAAAAGACGATCTTTTATAAAAACAAAAATATAAATCCTGTAAACTTCAAAACAAATTGGGGAAGAAATTTAACATACAACGACGACGTTTACGGTGGGCTCGTAGCTCTTGGACGAGTCGGGAGAAATCAGAATCGTGAAAGGCCAAGTACGATAGAACCATACGGATTTCGTCATCACATCCGAGCGCAGTGGGATCGAACTCTACGTGAGCCAACTCTTTAAGGCGTCTCCAAATTTCACATGGGTCCTCCTTGCATTTGAGCCAATTGTTGCAAAATTGGCAAACAGCATCTAAATCTTCAAATGGGGGACAGTCCAAATCAGGGTTGGCCGCCCGGAATGCCACACACGCGTTCAGAAGGTCCTGGTCAGAAGGAACAGACGATTTCTTCTTGTCTTCCTCGATGACTGCCAGTAGATTTTTCCATATCTGGGTAATGCTATTTATACAATCAGAATCCATATTCAATAATCAGAAGGCTTTTCTTGATGATTCAAAAATTGGAAGATTAAAGCAAGAAGAAATTCAGAAAAGGAGAGAGGGGATGGAGGATAACGGCTACAGGACGAGCAGGGGTTGATAATTTTTTTGAAATAAATAAACGGTGTGTTTACTGTTAATAAACCTATAAGGTACTATAGTAGATGTAAAAAGTAGTACTTCACCCTAGAACTATATATTAATTCGTCATATGGCCCTTTATATTTTAATTTTATTTAATTTAATCCTAAACTCCCTGGATTCGGCCGGATCCAATGATGACCTCAACAAGAACATCAAATTCGTTGACAAAGTAATGTATAGGTATAATTACTGCCTTATAAATTGAATTTTAATGATTTTTTTACATATAGATTGTACATATATAAAAAAATAGTTTACACTGTGAAAAGTTTTTGAGATTTCTTTACTATTTTTACATATAAAATAGGGGTAATACATAACAACCCCCTCGTGATTTCTGAAACAACACAAGAACCCCCTTATGATTTATAAAGTACATGATAACCCCTTCATACTTTTACCAAATGTGTAAAGTGGATAGAGAAAATTAACACTAACGGAATTTGTACCGCACACGCGCGTGAATGCAAGTGGGAATTTTATTTTCTACCAACAAGCTTCTGCAGGTCAAATATACCCTTATGTTGTATTTACATCGGTTTTATGAGGAAAAAATAACTTTCTTTTTTGGTATTCTTGCTTCTTTTTTTCAACCATTTGAAAAAAAAAATCATATTCCTATAATCCTGTTTGAGGCTTAAAATTTGATTTAAGGATGATTTTCAAAATCTTTCCCGTTTTTATTTGTATAAAATCAACTTTTGAAACTATTTTTTTCCTCTTCCATTTTAGTTCTTTCTTGAAAAAATTTTCCCGTTAAAAATTCTTCCTTTGAGATTTTGAAATCATCAAAAGTACTAAAATGGCTAGGTGCTTGTTTGAACATCAACTTACATTTCATTTTACATTAAAAATTAAATGAGAAATAAAAATGTTGTTTGGATGTTAGTTTTGAAAAAAAGTATTAAAATGTAAATCAAAAAATTGGAATTTAAAATATTTATAGCTCTAAAATGTCATTACACTAACAAATAGTGTTTCAAGTTGGAATTTAAAATGTAAATCAAAAAATTGTTTAGATGATATTTTATTTTCCATTGAATTTTGTGTTTAAGAGATAAAATGAGTGAAAATATAAAATGAGTTGATATTCAAACAAGGCCTAGGTCTGCCATTATGCTCCAATTGATAAATACTTCCGAAATTCAAAGGTGCATCATACATATCAAGGATTCAAGGGTTTCAAACATTTCTCAACTGGAATCATTGAAGAAGAAAGAAGAAAGAAAATCGGAAATGACTACAAACAAAATGTTGGAGTTTTTGTAAGATGTGGTTTATATTGGGAATCATCCTTGTAGAACAATAAATTAAACGGAAGAAAGAGAAAGCATCATCATAATATAAATCTACCAAATCCTAAGATTGACCGAGATATATGGGTCTTTAATCTCATAATATTCACAATCTTCAAATACGTACTATAGTGGCACAACTCTTGAAACAGCCTCCTCCAACTTGTACTATAATCCATATGCCAGCCGCCGGAAGAACCCGCCACAGTAAACCCCAAACCAGCTCCGCATCCAGCAATTCTTCGCCTACCCAAATCGCTAATTGGAAGTCAAATTTGACCGTAGATGAGTGTTGGTGACACACTATGACAGTAAGTGACCATGGATGCTGTCATAAGTGTCCATGGATGGTGATTGGGGAAACGGAGGAGATGAGAGAATGGGGGAGTTTCCAAAATCAGGAAATTAGGTCAAATATTCCTTATCACAATAATTTAAATGGGGGTAAAACAGTCAAATTATGATAGATCGTCAGTGTTAGTTTTCTCCATCCACTTTACACATTTGGGAGAAGTATGAGGGGGTTCTCATGTACTTTATAAACCATAGGGGGTTCTTGTGTGGTTTCAGAAACTACGAGGGGGTTCTTGTGTATTACCCCTATAAAATATACTATCTTTATCCGAAAAAAATACACATTGAGTTTTGAAATTTTTGTAGTAACTCAAAGTGTACTATTTTTTTTTTCTTTTTGGGACAGAGAGAATAACAAGAGTCTATATCTAGTATACTCGGGAGCACCTACTCCCGTTCCTATTTTTAATACTAATAGTTCTTATTGTACTTTTTTCTTAATCTTACTATAATTTGCAAGTTTAGTTCTTGTTATTTTTTTTTCTCTCTTCCAAAAAAACATCTCTAATATTCAAACGAGTATATCTCTCAATTCGTAAAGAATTTGTGAATAAATTATATATGAAATTTATAGTACTCATTGAGATCTATCCAACAAGATCCATATTAAATATTTTTTTTGGACTTAAAAATGATTAAATTCTCATGAGTAAAAATAAGATGGATATCCAATTTAATAAGATGAATAACCGACTTATTTTACATTCATATTGTTGTTTTTCCTATATCTCTTGATCCGTGAATAAATAGAAAATGAATTATGCATGAAATTTATAGTACTCGACGAAATCTATCCGATAAAATCAATATCGAATGTTAATTTTGAAAAAAAAAATAAAATACTCCGGGCAGAAACAAATATTTGTGTTGGATAACCAGTACAAAGACGTTGAACAACCATTTTTCCAGAAAAAGGAAAAAAATGATTGGATAACCATTACAAACCACTTGGATAACCAGTGAAAATAATTAAATATGCAGTACAAACTGGTTGGATAATCAATACAAAATAATTGGACAATTATTTTCATAAAAGAATAAGGAAAAAAAAGTTGGATAACAATCACCAAGAAGTCAGATAATCAGTATGAACACATTACAAACAATTTGAATAACCAGTGGAAATAATTAGATAAACGGTGCAAGCTGGTTGGATAATCAGTACAAAAGAATTGAATAATCATTTTCATCAAAAAAGCAAGGAAAAAAAAAGTTGGATGGATAATCAGTATGAACACAATGCACACATATTTTATGGAAAAAAAAAAATTATGTTTGGATAATCAGTGAAAACGATTGGATAACCAATACAAAACGGTTGGATAGTCAGTACAAAAATAAAACAAGGATTTTCACAAAGAGTAGAGAAAAAAAAATAGTTGGATAATCTATACCAAGCAGTTGGATAATCAATATGAATCCGTTGGACAACCATTTTTTTCCCAAAAAAAAAAATTAAAAAAAGATAAATTAGTTTGGATAATCGGTACTAATTAATTGAATAATTAGTATTAACACATCGGGCAACGATTTTCTAAAAAAAAAGATTGGATAACCTGTACAAACGAAATGGATAATCAGTCCAAACTGGTCGGATAATCAATATGAACACAATGGAGTACTATTTTAACAAAAAAAAAATAGATTGGATAAACAGTATCAATCAATTGGATAACAGGTACAAACCCATCGGACAAGTATTTTCATAAAATATATAAAAAAAATAGCTAGAAAAACAATAGCAAGGGGTTGGATAATCAGTGCGAACACATTAATTAGATAAACATTTTCTCAAAAGAAAAAAAAATGATTGGACAAACAATATAAACTTATTTGGACAAACAATAAAAATAACTGGATAACCAATACAAAGAAATTGGATAATCACTGCGAACACACTGGATAAACGTGTTTCGAAGAAAAAAATGACTGGATAAGCGATATAAACAAAATGGATAACCAGTATTAGCGTATCGGACAATGATTTTTTCCAATAAAAAAAATGATTGGATAACCAGTACAACCAATTTGGATAAGTATATAAATCCGTTGGATAACCAGTACACATAAGTTGGATAGGTATACAAACCAAATGGATATGCAGTACAAAAAAGTTGGATAAATATCCAGTACAAACAAGTTAGATCTGCATACAAACCCATTGGATTACAACTACAAAACAAGTTGGATAGGCATACAAACCAAATGGATGGATTTCCAGTACAAACAAGTTGGATATCCAGTACAAACAAGTGAGATATCTATTACAAACAAGTTGGATAGGCATACAAAACAAATGGATAAGCAGTACAAACAAAATGGATAACCAGTTCAAATTGGTTGGATAATCAGTACGAACACAATAGATAACCAATTTAAAATAACTTGGTTTGGATAATCAGTATGAACACAATAGATAACCAATTTAAAATAACTTAGTTATCCGTCTTGTAAAACTGGATATCCACCTTTATTCTGCCCATCAGAATTTAATCGTTTTTTAGCTGAAAAAAATATTTGATATGGATCTTGTTGGATAGATCTTGACAAATCTTAGATATATATGAAAGAAATTTTTTCTCCGAGACACGTGTTACTCGATTAGGATACTTATAGGTTTCGCAGTAAAAATTTACAGTAAATATCTAATGTTACTTTTACGGGTAACTTACTTTTTACTTACATCCCATTAAACTTATTTTTTTTCACCTTACATTTGCTTAATACAATTACTGATTTGTTACCGGGATTAAAAAAAATGAATCAAATGACATAAAGTTTCCCTGTGGACGTCCGGTTTCAATCTGGCAGCTTGGACGGCCGATTGTAATACCGGCTTAAAATCCCACTTTAACCGGAGACCGTAACTCAACTTTGATGGTACTGCTATCCATTTTGATAAAAAAAAAGTTTCCCGGTGGACTAAAATAGGAACGGCTTAGATCACGGATGATTCTGGCAACTATTTTCTCCGGTCTAATGTTCTTAGATTATCTTCACCAACAATTTATCAGCGATGACACCTGTAACACCGGCCGTACTGGCTAGGACTCCGATTTGTGATACATAACACCAGCACGGCCGAAAATCTGATCTCCACTACATAACACAGGCGAAGTCGCTGACCAAATATATGTCAACGATATACTGGGAAAGTCGTCGGAAAGAGAAGCGATGACAGTGTGGAGATCCGGCGATGATTAAGCAAGAAGGAGATCGGATTGAGATCTACCACTATTTTCTCATTTTCAATACTTGGAATTTCTATGAATTTAGTCTTGGGGTGGGGAGAGAAAGGTGGTGATTGTGGTGGTTGGTTGCAGCGTGGAGAAGGTAGAGACATAAGGAAGGA